GTTATGCTTTTTTTTTTTTTTGGCATGTTATTATGACACTTGATCTTACTTTTTGGATAGTGTTTTTTTTAAGGGGAATTGTTACCTTTTTGGATGTTGGCTTTTCAACTATAGATGCATCTTGACTGGCTAATTATTGCTATGGAGCAAGCATTTCATCATTGAGTGTTTCTTTTTTTACCTGGTTAATTCATCATTGATTTGAATGCAGTAATCTCACTTGGGGCATGCCATAAATTATACTACCTCCGTTTTTTTCTATAAATGTCATTTTGGCTTTATCAATAATTGTCTAAATAAATGACGTTTTAAATTTTTTGTACATATTTTTTCATTATTACTTTTATCTAGCTAATAAATACACTACGTTTTTTCATATTCACTCTTTATATTTTCTCAAAACATTTATCTCTATCCTCATTAATAAGGATTATTATTGGTAAAAAAAATATTCTTAATTAGTGTGTAACTTTTTAAAACGACATCTATTAAAAAAAGGAGAGAGTTTTAATCATTTAATCATTTTCGTGCTAATGTCATCCATGGGCCAATTTACATAGTTAGACATGGCCACCGGGTCAACCGGCCTGCCGACCGGCGCGGACTTGGCTCGGTCAAACCCGGCTCGGATTTCAAGCGGGCCGGTCTAGGGCCTTCTTTTCGTCGACACTGACCTCGGCGGGCCGGGTCGAGTCCGGTTCGGCACGAGAAAAATGAACTGTTTTTGATTTTTNGTATATGATTAGGGGGCAATTGCCCCTCAAATTTTAATTTTTTTAATATTAATATTAAAAGTTTTAATTTGTCCCCCCTTTAAATTTATTTTTGCACTCTCAGATTTTTTTTTTAAACATTACTCTTTTTCTTTTTTTTTTAGTCGAAACAATAAAAATGTTTTTAAACATTACTCACCAGGCCAACTTGTCCACAATTGTCAATTAACAATTCAACACTTCTTTTATTTTACTATTAATTTTATATATTAATTATTATCATTCTACAATTTTAATTGACTCATATAAAAGACTTCAACTTTCTTTTATTGCCCATGCTAGGACAAATGTTTTTTGATTGAAAACTGAAAATCGAACTGAAAATAAACCTAACCGAACCGACTTATGTGTAACGATAATCGAAAATTGATTACCGAAATGTTATCGGTTCGGTATCGATTTTGAATCCATTAGGGTTCGATTTTGAACTCATTATGTCATATTTTTTACCCCCTCTCAACTAATTTTCTGGTTTCGCCCCTGATGTCATCCTAATATCACCTGTTATGGGAAGAAAATAGCTTGTAATCTTCAAGATTTTTATTCGTGACTCACTCAGCTGGATGGGATGGAGAATTCAGAATGGGCACTCAACTCGGGACACAAAGAAGAACCTTCTCTTACAAATAAAAAAAGAGAAAATTACTCCCTACACCATAAATTTCAGCTTTTATTACAAGATTAAACAACTATTATAAATATTAGCAATTTTACCTAAAATCATGTTTTTATTTGTAGATATACCAGAAATTAATGTAAGCATTAATTACATATTTTAAAGAAACCTATCAGTTTCTCTCCCCCAAATCACGCCTCTTTCTCCTTATCTCTTTTCTTCGACTCTCTCTTCCTCTCCCTCTATCTTCTTTTCGTTATCTCACCGCCTCATCTCTCTCTCCCTCTGCCAACGACCCATTATTCTCTCCCCCTCCTTCCTCTTGTTTTTTCACTTGTGATCTGTGCAATCATTGAAATTGACCGATTTTTGTAGACCCAACGATGTACAACGGAATAAGTTTGCAGACCCATCAGGGCTCCAACACCAGCGGCACGTTCAGGCGAATGTCTTCACCGTCAAGGCGAGGGCGAATAGAGTCGTCACCGGTCCGAGCAAGGATTTCAAATCGGGGCAAGGGGCAGCGGGCGTGATCCGGGGGCCCGACAAGGAGATACTGGAGGACGAACGCAAGAAGCAGATATATCGAAATTTTTGATTATGTTAAGTATATGTTACGTATATGACTTGATTATGTTATGTATATGTGCATGAATGATATACTTACAGTTGTTTTCAAGACTGCGTATATTCGATGTTTACATATTAAGTATATGACACGAATATATTATGTATATGTACATGAATAATATACTTACAATATCCCGAGTTTGCAACTCTGTAGTTATTTTCAAAACTGTATATGCGATGTTTATATATTGTATATATTTTGCAGCATTAGTTCATCAAAATAGTTTGATTTCGACAAAGAAAAAAAAAATCATATTTAATCAAGAAATTTATTGTAAATATACAGGATTTGTTTTGTATATATCACATTAAACCAGAAAATATCAAATAAACATACAGAAAAAAAGAGATGTTAATAACACGAAAAATAAGTAAAAGAGAATTTCAAAAACAAAAATTATCAGGTATAATTCGTATATTTTACGGGCTTATATCATCAAGATATAATGATATTCCATCGTGTTGCTTTCTGTATCGTTAAAAGGTGATAATGTTTGAAATTCAATATATATATATATATATATATATATATATATATATATGTGTGTGTGTGTGTGTGTGTGTGTGAATTTTGAATTGAACAACATCCTAAATATTAGGATATACACTTACCATATATTTGCACTTTTTTTTTAATGCGAAAACTAAATCCCATTATGTCCGCAAATTAAGGAAGGATGATCTTTTTAATTTTGGTAACCGATATGTTGCATTATCACAAATAAATGTCATTCATTTGGTAATGATGCAATAAAAATTTATCTGCTCGTATGATTGCAATTAAACTCAATTCGCTATGTAGATGTAAAATTTACCCATAAAAAAACTCTCCAAATTTAACCGCAGACAAAGCCCTCGACAATAATACACAAAAATTTAAACCAAGAGCTCAAAAATCTGACCGGAAAGCAGAACAAAGAGAGGAAGAACGAGAACAAGAGAGGATGAGAGAGTTTCTGCTCACCGTTAGGCTGTAAAATATTGAAAATATTATGCCCTGAATAAGAAGATTACATGAAGAGACTGTAAAATCAAAATGGGTTTGAATCAAAAGGCCATGTGCGAGATGCAGAGATAAGTGAGGGGCTACAAATGCTATTTGGTTGGGTAAGGGATGTTAAGTTGGGTAAAGTGGAACGGACTAGGAGTAAAGTGAGCTGAATTCTAATATGAGGAATTTGCACGCTACACGTTGACAATAAGAAATTATTACATTATTACCTCCATTATATAATTATTTATAAATTAACAAATTTGTTAAATTTATTTGCATATATACATATAAAGTTGATTTCCTATCTATATGGTAATTCTCTCTCTCTTCTTCACACGGCGGTCTCTCCCTCTTCTTCACAGAAAACCCTCCACCGTCTGCCTTCACAAGCCTAATATTCGTTCCGACTGATTCAATCGACTCCTCCGATCTCCCTTCACACAAGTCCGCCACCTCCTTCAATCCTCCTTCCGCCACCGCATACGCCTCCGCCTTGCGCGGGAGAACATCCACGACGAGGCTCGTCGCCAAGCCTCGTCCCACGGCTTCTCCGCCAAGTACGTCCCCTTAAACGCCGACCCATCCTCCACCGAATCCTACAACCTCTACCGAGCCATCCCCGCGGTCATCATCTCCAGGTAGGCAATCAGAGAATCGTTCTCCATGGAGTCGATGAGAGAGAAGAGGAATATCATTTTAATCGACATGTCAACTTTTTTTTTTTTGTGGTATATTT